TGAGTGAATTATCTTCAGTAGTTACTAAAATATCGCAGTTTTCGTTTCTCTGAAAATTACCGTTATATGGGAGGTAGGCGTGGTTATTATCCGATTTCGCCCATTTTCAATACCATCCGTCCCACGCCCAAAAGAAGTTCACGTACCAAGTTTCGTTAAGATATCTCAATTTTTACTCGAGTTATCGTGTGCACAGACGGACGGACGGACGGACGGACGGACGGACGGACAGACAGTCACCGCTTAATCGATTTCTCTTTTCATTCTGATCATTTATGTATACATTTGTCTATATCTATCTCGATTCGTTTTGCCTGTTACAAACAACCGTTATGTGAACAAAGTTATAATACCCTTGTGCACAAGTGCGCTCGGGTATAAAAAAATCTTATCAGCTGCTATACTGATACTACCTGTTCAATGTGCCTTGGTAGGTACATATTAAAGAACTGCAAAATTCAACATTTTCTGTAAAAATGTCTTTTTCAAAAATTTCATGCATTGCTATGTCATGTCAACTCAAACAAGGTGTTGTGGCATGTCATTCCATCTCAAACACACAGTTTTAGCATGTCGTTGCTACCTAGCTAAGCTGTTGTTCGCTGTTGTAGAATATTTTTAATACTGTTTGATCCTGCCTTGGATGAAAATATATACAGGTTTTTAATTAGACAGTTCTTTAATGCATTTTACTATAATAGGTGCTTAAAAAATTTACAAAATCTCTTCCCGTATATAAAATGTAATTAATAATGCTGACTATGTCGCATGTGGCACTTGCATGATGTGACACATGTCGCTATGTTTTATATGTAGTTCAACATTTGCAGGCCTTTAGTACATATGTACATATCTAATCAATAATTATTATAATTTATTGAACTTGTTGACTCATCAAATATTCTAGTTATGCTAATACATTTTTTTTTTTTTTTTTTTTTATTATTATGAGCCTTGAGCACTGCGACCTCTAAGGTGGTCTATTGTGCGTGGCCTTTTACCCTATATATGAAGGCTTTTAATATAAGGTAGCACTTCGGTGGGCTTTTTGTTCCATATTTCGAATGGATTAAGTGTTGTACCGCCTAGGTGAGCGAGTCTGCGTCTAGCGAGAGCAACACATTCACAAAGGATGTGTTCTGGCGTTTCTTCGTCCATCTCACAGAAGCGACAGACGCTCGTGTCTGAAAGATTCATTTTACTGAGGTGATAACGCAGGGAACAATGTCCCGTGTAGTACCCAGTGAGAGTTCGAAGGTCCTCCCTGCCTAGATTTATGAGCTTTTTTGAAGCTTCTTGTGATGGACAGATGAACCGCTTAGCTTGTCTTTGCCCCGGACATTCATTCCAGTGCCTTTCGAATTTTTTGTCGACCCACTTGTTTATGACCTCCCTTAAGTGGGCTTTGGTGAGCCCGCAGAAGGGTTCCGGGCCATAGAATAGTGTGGTAGCTCCGTGTTTTGCTAGGCGGTCCGCCTGTTCATTGCCGTCATGGCCCTCGTGCCCCGGCACCCAGCCCAGTAATACTGTGTTCTTGCTTCCAAGACCGTTTAGGGTGTTGAGGCAGTCGTACACTAGTTTGGATGTTATTATGTGGGACCTCAGTGCTAGCAAGGCAGCCTGACTGTCCGACATAATGCAGATGTTTTTAGAGGATGTGCCTCTTCTGAGGCATTCTCTGCCACAGATATCGATCGCATGAATCTCTGCTTGAAAAATGGTGGGGTAGCTGCCCATTGGTATCGATCTTTTAAAATTCGGCCCCAATATACCAGCTCCAGTTTTTCCATCTTCAAGTTTTGATCCGTCAGTGTACCAAACTTCAGCTCCGGGTTTGGTGTAGGGGTTTCCTGTGCTCCAGGATGCTCGGTCCGCAATAGATACCTTGAAATTCCTAGAAATTACTAGTATCGGAGCTACTGAGTCCCTCATATGCATTATGGGGTCATTTGTGAATTTCATAAGGACCTTCATATGACCTGTCATGTTTCCGGTTTTTAACTCGGAAGTGTTTAGGATTCTCAGTGCCGAGAGACTGGCCTCCCTCTCTATTAGAATTGGGAAGGGCGGTATGCCTACAAGAGCACTAAGTGCATCAGCAGGACAGGTGCGCATAGCCCCTGTTATACCAATGCACACCATTCGGTGTAGTTTGCTTAGTTTTGCGCTAGCAGTTCTTTGTGTCGCTTTTCTCCACCATGCCAAGGATGCATAGGTGACTATCGGCTTCACAACTGTGTTGAATGACCAGTAAGTCATTTTGGGGGAGAGTCCCCATGTCTTCCCGTAAAGTCGCTTGCATGCGAAGAAGGCTCTCATTGCCTTGTTTACGGTTGCATCCAAATGTACATTCCAGGTGAGTGTCTTATCTAGCCACACCCCCAGGTATTTTGCTTCATTTGAGAGCCCTATTCTAGTGCCGCCCAGAGTCAATTCTGTCATGGATAACTTTTTCCTCCGGGTAAACGGAACCAGAATAGATTTAGTAGGATTAATGGATAATCCTTTGGTGTCACACCATCTTTGCGTAATGCGCAGGGCTTGTTGCATGCGGTTGGAGATCGTTTCGTCATGCAGCCCTGTTACACAGATTACCAGATCGTCTGCATATCCTTGTGTTTCAAAGCCATGGTCGTTCAGTAGGAACAGGAGTTCGTCTATAACCATAGTCCACAGAAGAGGAGAGAGTACACCCCCTTGAGGGCAACCTCTTGTGGCTGTAATCGATTCTTTCGTGCCTCCCAGCTCCATCCTGATCTTCCTTGTTTTTAGCATAGAAAGCACCCAATTTATTATGATGGGGCTCACTCCCTTGCATATCAGGGCATCTCTTATTGCCCTGTATGACGTGTTGTCAAAAGCCCCTGAAATGTCAATGAAGGCACAAAGGGCTATGTTCTTAGACTCCAGAGCCTTTTCGATTTTCGATGTAAGGCTGTGAATGGCAGTCTCAGTGGACTTGCCTGGTTGATAGGCAAATTGGTTCTTATTCAGTGGTCGTTCCGCTAGGTTGACTTCTCTGATATGTTGATCCAAGATTTTCTCCATGCCTTTTAGGAGAAAGGAGCTGAGGCTAATTGGTCTGTAGGATGAAGGCATTTGCTCCGGTTTACCTGCCTTCGGTAAAAATACCACCTTAGCCTCAGTCCATCTACTGGGAATGTGACCCAGTAGGAGCGACGCTCTGTATAGTCTGGAGAGGACTGGGGCTATGTAGTTACTACCTTGTTGGAGTTGACAAGGATAGACCCCATCTGGTCCTGGTGATTTGTAAGGGCTGAAGGTAGATATCGCCCATTGCACTCTTTCTATCGTGGTAAGTTTAGTTGCAAGGCTTTGCTCTCTACCAGAAGTGCGTGCTGGGACACCCAATTCCGGTAGATAATAGCCCGCTTTGCAGCCCGGGAAGTGAGTGTCTAGCAGAAGTCTGCTAGTCTCTCCCGGATGCTGAGTATAACTACCATCTGGTTTCTTTAGAGTGCCGATCGTATTTTTGTGTTCCCTATTTAGAGCTTTTTGGAGGCGTACTGCCTCTGGGAGGCTCTTTATTTCCTCGCAGTGGTTTCGCCAGCTAGCTCTTTTGGATTTCCGCAATTCTTTGTTGTAAGAAGTTAGTGCAAGTTTGTACGGATTCCAATCACCCGTATTCTTTGCTCTATTGAATAGTTTTCTGGCTTGGCATCTCATTTGCTCAAGCTTCTTGCTCCACCAAGGCACATCACGTTTGGATTTTACCTTTCCTTGGGGACAGCTACTATTGAAAGCTATTCCAATGTCTGAATGAAGCTGTTCAGCTTCAGTTTCAAGCTCGTGCGTAGTCGTAATTTGACCACCATGGCTGTTTCCACCTTCTTCCATGATAAAGCGAAAGAATTCCCAGTTCGTTTTTCTGGGATTTCTAAAAACTAGTTCATGCTCAGGAAAGTGGCCAATGTCGAATTCTATGTGCATATGGTCCGACATTGATACCTCCCCTGAGACGCGCCAGTTTGTGACAGAAGCTGCCATGTTCTGACTACTTAGAGTAAGATCTAAGACTTCCCCTCTAATAGCGTTCCTGAACGTTGGTTCATTGCCATGGTTTATAATACTTATATTATAACTACTTATAAACTCAAGGAGGTACTCACCCCTTTTGTTGGTGTCGGTGCTCCCCCAGACAGTGCTATGGGCATTTGCATCACAGCAGAGGATCCAGGGTATACCACTCTGCCGGCAGTGATCCGTAAGCGCCTTTACCTCAGGTGTCGGGGCTATCTCCTCCTCACCCGGGAAGTACGCGGAGGCAAGTACTGCCTCTTGCACCCCCCTAGGAATTTTGGCCCATACCGCAACGAGATCTGCCGTAATGAACTGTGAAAGAGGGAGAAACGTTATTTTGTTACATAATAGCATCGCCGCTCTTGGGCGACAGCTGGCGGCATAGATGATCTTACCGTCCTTTATATTAAGGCCTTTGACGTCACCTCTTAATATCCAGGGTTCCTGGATGAAGGCTACACCTAAGCCTTCGTTTGTGAACCTCCTATGTAAAACATCTGATGCTGCTTTCGCGTGGTGAAGGTTCACTTGGAGGCATTTAATGTGCCTCAGATTTGTAGGGTTTTTGGGGTGAGGTGCCATTACTTGCGGTCTTTTCGGCCGCGAGCAGCCACCTTCTTCCCCCTGTTGCCCTTCAGCAAGACCGCTTCTTCGGCCGTCCTTGCATCTCCCTTGCCTTTGCGGCTGGACATAGCCGCTTTGGAGCTGCCACGTAGTGGTGGCCGTTTTGCAGGCTTTGGGGATGCGATGGGTCCAACGCCTTTTTGGGCTTCTTCCAGCACCTGTTGTAGGGTCGGGCATGTTGTTGTTGCTGTTTTTGGAGGCGTTGTTGGAGCTTTGTATGCTACGTGTAGCTCTGTGCCAACCTCCGATGACTTCTGCTGCACTTGCGTGTCATTGGGTAGCTGCCTGGGAGCTACGATGACGTCTTTGGAGCAGCAAGGTTGCTCCTCCGAGTTAGGGTATTCGGTGTCGGCGGCATCTTTGTCTACCACGGGCATCGACGGTTTGACTTTCTCCCTAAGTTTTACTACGCCAAAGCCATAGTTTACCACGTTCCCGCGGTGCTTTAGCGTGTCCGCTGCTAGCGGGTCAACTGCAATGGTGATTTCCGCCATTGTTGACCTGCGTACTCGATTCAGAATGCGCCAGTCCGGAATTCTCAGGCCGTCATTCTGTGCCTGAAGCAGACTGAGCGCATCCTCACTGGCAGAGCTGTCCAGCTCTGGGAAGAGTCCCACAAGAATGATGCGGCGAGGTGTTTCTGCCTCCTCGACCACTTTCATCTTCGCCCCCTTCCATGGTGCCAGCTTTGGAACAGTGTTCCGTATCCACCCCGCGGTCGCAGCATCTCTGCAACTGATGGATAGCCATCCCGAGTGGAAGGTGCAACCCTTGAATATAGGCTTTACAGCGCTAACTGTGTTGCTCCTGACCGCCCTGAGGATGGCATTTTGGATAGCTTTGAGCTCATCCGTTGACCACACTGTGGTTGGATAGTCCTCTGGGACTAAGCCCAGCTTCACTCCGCATAGTGCATCCCTAAATGAAACCGGCTCTCCGCGACAATCTGCAGGTGCATGCGGCACAGTTGCCTCCCCGGTGGGCACAGATGCAGTCCCACCTGGCCTGCCCCCTGCAGATCCCTCACTGGATTTGGCGAATTTCTTCGGGGATCGCCTCTGCGGGGTAGAGCTATCAGACCTAGGTCTTTTTTGGAGAGTTTTCTTTTCCCTCCGTGGTGGGCCAACGGGTTCTTTGGCTTTTTCTCTAGCCTGCTCATAGCTCATTCCCCTTTCTATGTACCGCTTGAGGCGTTTCCGACCGGCTCCGCTAAGCCGCTCCCGCTCTCGAGCTTGGTGAGGTGGGTTGTTCACCGGAGAGGCAAGCAACTTCTGCTCATCCTCCGGCAAGATATCAGATAGCGTTCTGACGGGACTTGCATCCTGTCTCACGCTAGTATCCACCATCTCTACGTCGTACGAGGGACTATGCGCCCCCGGTAGTTCCGTAGCGATGGTTTCTGTTTCGACAGAAGTCGAAAGGCCAGCATTGGCCATTGTTTGGAGCTGTGCAGCTCCTTCTGGCTTTTGATTTATATTTTTACTATTCATGTGTGTCCCACGAGTATGGGGGAAGGGATGTCAGCTGGGACATAGCCCCCAATATCCCGAGCAAGACTTCTTACAACCAGAGGGCGCCAGGTATCTGGAGGCCACCGTTATAAGACACACTTACGTAGTGCCATTCATCCCATAAGCACGGTACGGATGACACTCGGAATTACGGGTTTTATCGAGTTGTCCTCTCTAGATCCGCCATATTCAGTAAAAGCAGGGGCACCTCTCGCAGGGTGTGACTCGTCGCCACGTATGGTCGGTCTTGAGCCATCCGCTCCTGACTCAGAACATTACAACACGTATGAAGCAATATCAAGAGCCTTGACCCCCATGCTAATACATACATATGCATGAGAATAATTAGCAGGAGGTTGTTAGTATTTGACTGGTTTAGTTAGAAGCATATTGGATAGAAATTTTGGTTAGTAATAACAATTTATATTGGTATACATACTATATATATGTATGCACAAATCTGTGCCGATCAATCAAAGTAGCTTAAGTGAGGAGGTTTGACCTTGAATTAAAAAATAATCATAATTTTACTAATCTTCTATTAAAACGGCATCTTGAACTACACCTATAGCTAGTTAAATGTTATAGTATTATTTGGGAACCCAATGAAATGTTGCTTTAAAGGGAAAATGACCTATCCCGGGCTAGAACCGTTTTCTCAAGTAACCTGTAACTTTAAAGCCCCTTCTAGGGGCAGGCAAATATTTTGGTTACAATTCAAGGATTCTTATGCGCCATGAGAAAAGAAATTTGCATTGATAAGAAATTGATAGGTGGGGTAGATAGTAGTTATGATCGTTTGTGCTTCTCAGTTCAGAGTAGATCGAAGTAGATGGGCAAAACTTATGTATGTATGTATGTATATACAGTCTGTTGCTAGCATGGCACATATGTATGTACTTATGTACCTACCTATATGGATGACAAAATATTCTGAAACGTTTTTCATTCTACACTTGCCGCTGTCACGCAAACGCCGCTATGTCTGCGATAATTTGCGATTTTAATTGATTAGTAAACAAAACATTTAATTCCTATTTTTATGTTTACATTTGTATTTCACATTACAATTACAAATTATTGATCGCATCACTTTTTACGGTTGAAACATAATGCCGGCGAATGGCGAATTTTTTGTCGCGAATGTTCGCTGTAAAAATTGAAACACACTGACGTATATGAGAACGCACACAACTAAAGCAAACGACAAAGTTCGCCCGACGACTGTTCGCAACTGTAAATTCTTATTTCTATTGTCGTCGCTGGCGGCAGCTGCAAAATACGATTCATTGTGACAATATGCTAAATATTCTCAAGTTTTTAAATTGAAATTGAAAAATACTGTGGTTGTTCACGCTTGCCTGGTTAAGTATCTGGTTATGTGGTTATATTTTTTATTCAGTTTACAACAATAAAATACATTACAGAATAATAATTGTTAACCAGATAACCTGATAACCAGGCAAGTGTGAACAACCACACTCTATTAGTTTTTGTTAAAGATTAATCATTTTGTTGTTTGTAAAAATTTTAATTGTACCTTGTCATAACCCAGCCAGTAAAATCATCGTAAACGAGCTCGTAACTGGTTATTTTCTCGAAGAAAAACCGGATAAAAAGTCGCTTATGATAGCCGTTTACCATTCGTTTTCGAGTACTTTTTCGCTTGAAATTGTGGAGCGCCTACGAAAAGTCGTAAATGGATCGAAAAGACATTCGTGAGCGAATTATATATAGATATTATAAAATATTGTGGTTTAAGAAAAAATTCCAATAAAATTAAAACTTTCTTGTGCTGACAAATTACTACAAACCTTTTTCTATTACATTTTTTGTTTTATCGTTTATTGTTTTTTTGCCGATCGAAACATCCTCGTAAAATACAACGTTCGTAAAATGTACATTTTCTTGCTGGCTGGGTAGCAGCTGATTTCGTTGTCGTCGTAGTTGTATTTTACTGAGCGCAATTTTTGAGCGAATGTCGCTGACGTCGTCGCTCTACTGGACGAAAATTCGCCGGTATTGTGTTTCAACGGATAAATGTGAATATGTGCATTTTTACATATGTATGTATGTATATTCCAATGGACATATGTACATATCAATATACATTTGTAGGGTATAACAATTTAATGCCGGCAAAAACTGTGATTTCAGAATTGAATATGAATGAGCTCATAAGTGTACAAGGGTGTATGCACCTACATAAAGCGGTGATTGTTTTTTGTTTAATAACAAAAAATTGCGTAATCGCCGAACGCCAAGCCATTTTTGACTCATAGTATACCTCGTTATGTATGTATGTACATTAAGGTGGTCCAAAACAAAGTAAAGCCGGAATTTCAATACTCTCACTCCCTAATACGAAAAACCCTGTATTTCTCCAGGGTACTTCCAATAATAATATATTTATTTACTTTCAATAATAATACCTAATTGTTTATTCAACCATTTTTTAATATTAACTATTTTTGATAGGTCCCCAAAAGCCCCAAAAAAATCAAATGGTAGCATCCATAAAAACGTTAGTATTGAAGAATGGTAAAACAAAAAATAGGATATTATTAAGGGGGAATCCCGTGAAGAGAAAACAGAGCTTTCCGACCGAAAAATATTAATTTTCAAAAATTCTATACCATTTTAACGAGAAATTTTTTTTTTTCACATAAAATATTTACATGGAAAATTTAGAGCTTTGAGCGATCTCTAAATATTTTTTGATTTCAAAATAAAAAACAGGGTATATTATTTTTTTTAGTATAGAACAATCCTAGGGGGTGAGAGCATTAAAATTAGGGCTTTACTTTTTTCATATGCATTTTTGGACCACCCTAATAAACACACATATTCGCATGTTGGTTTGTTTGCATATAAATAAATGTTTTATGCTTGAAACTTCTCGATATTTCGGTGTTCAGAGGTGTTAATTTGTCCTGCTTTACCTACATTAAGTATGTGCAATAAATTTGTGGTTGCAGTCAGCATTTACATATACATACATATGCCACTATGCATAATAAATCTCTTTAAATTCATAGATGGTATTTTGCGTGTTTTTGTTGTGTATTAATCGGACTTAATGTTGTTGTAAAAGATAAATTTCGTACTGCATGTCTGAAACAAAATACACATTGTTAAATTTAGTTAAATTTTGATGGCTGCATTGGTAAAAAATACCTACATACATATTTACAATAAATTTTTGCTAAACAATAATAATTTGCACAGTTACTTATCGCCTATTTCAAATTTCCAGTTTATCTTCATGCTAAATTCTTCCATGACGCATGCTTTTGTCTACAATTCACTTTGTTATCGAATACTCGCAAATAATAATATTTTTAAGTGGTATTTTGTTCTCGGTTTTATACATTTTTTTTATTACTTTTCATTATTTTAGTCATCAGCTAGTGGAATAAATTTTTTATGTAGTACGTCGTACATTAGGGTGGTCAAGAAAAAAGTTAAGTCGGAATTTAAATGCTCTCACCCCCTAGTATTGTTCTATACCGAAAAAATGTATAACCCTATTTTTTATTTTGAAATCAAATAACATTTAGAAGTCACTCAAATCGCTCAAAGTTTCCCATTCATTTTATATGGAACCGAACAATTTCTCGTGGAAATGACATAGAATTCTTCAAAATCAATATTTTTCGATTAGTAAGCTTTGTTTCTCCTCAAGCGACCTCGAACCATTTTAACCATTTTTTAGTACTAGCGATTTTTTATGGGTCACACCATTGCATTTTTTGAGGTTTTTTTTTTTGGAAAAATCTGCACTCATAAAAAATATACTCTGACAGGAACTTCCATGATAAAATGTCGTAAAAAAGTGACTTTACATTGCACACAGACTCACTAAAGAAGCAGGATGGAAAGGTTGGGAAGTTTTTATGGGTCGCTGTAGGCAGGGTACTACAAGCCAGATA